CGGCGGAAGAAGTCGGGAGGGGGGGGCGAGAGAGAGAGAGAGAGAGAGAGAGAGAGAGAGAGAGAGAGAGAGAGAGAGAGAGAGAGAGAGAGAGAGAGAGCAGGTAAGTCTCCAACCTCGCGGCTGGCCTCCTGGTACTTCCATCGATAGGACGAGCAAAATCGAATGAATCTACCGCTAGAACATGGAAATATACATTGCGCACACGCGCGCAGCACACCAGACGTGTCCAGCGCGCACTGCGCACCCAGATGCACGGCGCACACCGGTGTGCGCGGACCTCGGGTCCACGCACAGCGCACCGCACAGTGCCGGTGCGCCGCAAGTATGGGTCTAGCGCACCACAACAAGAAAGAGGTCTAGAACCCTATGAAGGGATCATCCATGGCAGCCAGCTGGTCAAGACCAGCTATGCCAGCATTTTATGTGTGGAGAAGGAAAAGGGTGGTGATGCTACCAGAAAGAAAATAGGGAATACTCGTAAATCCTCCCCCGGGCAAAACCTTTATATTCATTTGTCCCCACCAGTGTAAAACACTTTCCCAACATTTTTGCACACCGGGCGTTACTGGTCCATCCAGGGTGCAAAAATGACACGAAAAGTGACTTTGCAGCCTGCCGGAGTGTTTGGCGACAAATGAATACAAATGCCGCAGGGGCGATTCATAACTTTTCCCAAGAAATACGGGCATTGGGGTTCCTCTCACCAACACCTTTCCCTCAACCATGTGATGACATAATTTATAGATAATGCCACTGCTGTTGAGATCCATCTAGGTTGCTGCCTGAAGCAATGGTGGATGACGTACCTGTTATAAACTACAGTGGAATTAGGCTTCTACCTGGAAACAAAACGCACACGCGCGCACACACACACACATGCGCACATAGACACACACACACACACACACACACACACACACACACACACACACACACACACACACAGATGCGCACGTGCAAAGGTCTCTCAAATCTATTCTGCCTATTCTATTCTATCCGGTCTTATCTAATCCAGGGTGGTGTCTGAGTCTACTGGTCTGGGACTAGTCACTTCCCGGAGAGATTGAAAAGATCAAGGAGGCCAATTTGGAACCGAGGTCAGGTCTCACACCCTCCCCTTAGAGAAAGATCATTGAATTTCGGTACCCAATAGTTTGATACAGAACAGGCTGGACAGCGAACAGAGGCGGGTATCAGTTCAGGTCTACTGGCCCTATACTTCAATCCACCATCCCACGGAGATGGGTCCAGACCTCCCAGCCCTATATTTCGATCCAGAACAGGCTGGATAGCGAGCAGTCCCTGAGATGCTGGGGATGCATGTATGTGAACTGGTGTGCGGTTAGGTACGTTCAGTTCCAAGGGAGATCACAGTTTGCAATGATTTTCCCACCTTAGAGGGCTGGTAGGCCTGGAGGCAAAGTGGGTCATGGCCTATAGCCATCGGAGAAGGACAGCTCAGCAGCTGCACTTGCTGGGTCCAGCCAGCGAGTGTAGTGCTTGGTGTGTCAGTTCAGTTACTCTATCCCCCACCAGTCACTATGCTGTTCGTCATGAGGGCGGGTAGCAGTGTAGCTGGGGAGGCAAGAGTGGACCTGTAAATGAAGGAGATCACTGCCGCCATAGCTATGGGGGAGGAGGAAGAGGAGGTTGAAGAAGGAACTAGCTATGGAGATGGGACTTAGTGCCCGGATTAGGCATGCAGACGAAGAGGAGGATTGCAGTTGACCTAGAGGAGGAAGAAGAGAGGAACCATGACAAAGAGTTACCTTTAGCTATGGTGTACTACCAGACCTAGAGGAGGAAGAAGAAGAGAGGAACCATGACAAAGAGTTACCTTTGGCTACGGTGTACTACCATCTTCATCCCGTGTGTGGTGTTACATCGTCAAGAAGACCCTTCTCGGGTTCTTTAAAGTGATTCTCAAGTCCTTTTGAGTCGGTTTCGGGTTCTTTTAAGTCCATTCAGGGTTGTGTTTGGAGAGGAGGCTTCACCCAAGAGTGCCGCAACTCTACTCTGAGGAGAGAGAGGGAATTTCTTCTGTGTTGCCTTCTTTACATCACCCTTCGAGTGGTGTTTGTGAGATGCTGGACATGTTAGTGCTGCCAAGGAGAGAGTTTGGGCGTAGACGAGCTGAAGGGAGTTCTTTCTCAAGAGCATTTGCCAGGGGATCGATCGGACACTTTCTCTTGGTTCAATCACATATTCTTTGGTATTCGTGAGCAATAAAACAGAAGGAGATTTGAGGCTGATGGTACAGTCGAGTACTCTCTCTCTCTCTCTCTCTCTCTCTCTCTCTCTCTCTCTCTCTCTCTCTCTCTCTCTCTCTCTCTCTCTC